CCCGCGTCTCCTGCATCGGCAGGCGGACTCTCAAGCACTGCGCCACCAGGGAAGCCCTAATAATACTTCTTTAGAGAATTATTGGAGAGTAAAATTCAATTCACCAAGTGTTTATTGAGTGCTTTCTCTGTACCAGGCACTGTTCTAAGTATTTTACATGCCTGAACCACAACTTGAGAAGGCAATACTGTCATTATTTCCATTTTGCATAGGAGGAACTAAAGCACAGAGAGGATAAATGATTTGGCCAAGGTGACACAGCTGATAAGAGGCAGACCTGGGATTGGAACCCGTGAAGTCTGGCTCCAGAATACGCATCCTTAGTCACAAAGCCACATGATATCAATAGGGATCCAACCAATAAGAGTTGCATTAGAGTCATCACGTACAGAAGGAACAAGGGCAGATGTGCAACAGTGAGTCAGTAAGTCAGTCAACAAACCTTTGGAGTGCCTACTATGTGCCAGCTCAGTTTAAGCTCTGGGAACAGAGTGGCCAATAAGAACAGACGACTCCTGCCCTCAAGAAGTTTCTATTCTGTTGGGGTTGGGGACTGTGTGTGTGTGTGTGTGTGTGTGCGTGTGGGGGCACAAAAAACAAAAAAAATAACTCCAGGAACTAAGTGCTAGGAAAAAATAAACTGGGTTAGTGGGAAGAGAGTGTCTGGAGCACTGCTTTAGCAAGGGTGATTGGGAAAGTCTCTCTGAGGAGATGACGTCTGAATTGAGACCTGAACGATAAGGAGGATACAGCCATACAAAGTGCTAGGAGAAGATTATTCCAACCAGGAGTAGCCCGTGCAAAGGCCCTGAGACAGCACTGTCCAGAGCAAAAGGAACACCAGTGCGGCTGGGGCACAAGAACAAGGGGGAGAGAGGTTAAGTGACTTCCCTGGGACTCTGGGCAATTAATGGGGAGCGAGTCCCCCTCAGCTGCTAGCTCTGCTTGTTTCACTGCCCCACGCTGCAGCCAGGCTGTGTTTGTGTGAGTCACTCAGGGAGTGGGGAAATTAACTCGGTGTCTCACATCCAGCGTTATAAGAGATGAAATGAATAACATGGGATAGGATAGGACAGGGCAATACAATAGATCACAGTGCACAGGTAGTAACGATAAGTATTATTTTGTGAAATTGGTTTCAATCATATATGAGTTATATATTTATGGGCTATTTATATACAGGTTATTGTGTAACGTATTTCTTACTTGGGGTCATAAGTGAAAAAAAGTCTGAAACACATTTCTAGATCCCGCGTCTCCTGCATCGGCAGGCGGACTCTCAAGCACTGCGCCACCAGGGAAGCCCTAATAATACTTCTTTAGAGAATTATTGGAGAGTAAAATTCAATTCACCAAGTGTTTATTGAGTGCTTTCTCTGTACCAGGCACTGTTCTAAGTATTTTACATGCCTGAACCACAACTTGAGAAGGCAATACTGTCATTATTTCCATTTTGCATAGGAGGAACTAAAGCACAGAGAGGATAAATGATTTGGCCAAGGTGACACAGCTGATAAGAGGCAGACCTGGGATTGGAACCCGTGAAGTCTGGCTCCAGAATACGCATCCTTAGTCACAAAGCCACATGATATCAATAGGGATCCAACCAATAAGAGTTGCATTAGAGTCATCACGTACAGAAGGAACAAGGGCAGATGTGCAACAGTGAGTCAGTAAGTCAGTCAACAAACCTTTGGAGTGCCTACTATGTGCCAGCTCAGTTTAAGCTCTGGGAACAGAGTGGCCAATAAGAACAGACGACTCCTGCCCTCAAGAAGTTTCTATTCTGTTGGGGTTGGGGACTGTGTGTGTGTGTGTGTGTGTGTGCGTGTGGGGGCACAAAAAACAAAAAAAATAACTCCAGGAACTAAGTGCTAGGAAAAAATAAACTGGGTTAGTGGGAAGAGAGTGTCTGGAGCACTGCTTTAGCAAGGGTGATTGGGAAAGTCTCTCTGAGGAGATGACGTCTGAATTGAGACCTGAACGATAAGGAGGATACAGCCATACAAAGTGCTAGGAGAAGATTATTCCAACCAGGAGTAGCCCGTGCAAAGGCCCTGAGACAGCACTGTCCAGAGCAAAAGGAACACCAGTGCGGCTGGGGCACAAGAACAAGGGGGAGAGAGGTTAAGTGACTTCCCTGGGACTCTGGGCAATTAATGGGGAGCGAGTCCCCCTCAGCTGCTAGCTCTGCTTGTTTCACTGCCCCACGCTGCAGCCAGGCTGTGTTTGTGTGAGTCACTCAGGGAGTGGGGAAATTAACTCGGTGTCTCACATCCAGCGTTATAAGAGATGAAATGAATAACATGGGATAGGATAGGACAGGGCAATACAATAGATCACAGTGCACAGGTAGTAACGATAAGTATTATTTTGTGAAATTGGTTTCAATCATATATGAGTTATATATTTATGGGCTATTTATATACAGGTTATTGTGTAACGTATTTCTTACTTGGGGTCATAAGTGAAAAAAAGTCTGAAACACATTTCTAGATCTCAATGGGTCCAGCCTGCTTTCGGGTTTGAAAAGCACTGCTGATGGAGCCTCCTGAGAATGTTCACCTTTCCCTGCAGCCTCCCATTCTGCCTGTCATTCTGTCTGAACTCCGAGAATACAGGCTTCTTAGGTATCTGGCCCGAGTCAAACTGAGAATTGCATGAGGAGGAAAACTCAATTCTGAACCGAAACCAAAAGGACAAGTGGCAGTGTACTCCAGGCTCTGCAGGACCCCCTCTGTTGGAGCAGTACCTCCTGAACCCCTGGCCTCCCATGGCCACACTGGGGCGGGTTCCTGCAGGTGACCCTCCCACCCCTCACTCTACGCCCTCCTCCCCAGGTCTTCAAGAAGCCCAGTCCCTTCAGCCTCGTCAGCCAGCTTTCCTGCCCAGAGACCCAAGACACCATTCATCCCCTCGATGAGCAGGCCTTCCCCAAGGTGTCCCCAGAGCTGAGGAACTCGGAGCTGCACGGCAGCACGGACAGTGGCTTCAGCAGTACCAAGCCATCCCTGCAGACTGATGAGCCCCAGTTCCACCTCCCTGCCCCCCACCCCCTGGCTGGGGGTACTTTGGGGAAGGGGGCGACCCAGTTGCTGGAAAACAGCTGCAGTAGCGGCAGCAGCAAAAGTACAGACAGCGGGATCTGCTTGCAGGAGCCCAACCTGAGTCCTGGCACGGAGCCCAGCTGGGAGCCGCAGGTGGGGAGCGACAGCCAGGACCAGCTTGACAGTGGCATTGGCCTGGTCCAGAACCCTGAGGGGCAGCCTGAGGATGTTCAGGGTGGCTCAGCTTTGGACCATGTTAGTCCCCTGGGATCGGAGGTGGCTGCGGGAGAAGACCCAGCTGCAGGGGCCTTCCAGGGCTACCTGAAGCAGACCCGGTGCCCAGAGGGGAGGGCAGCCGAGGCAGGCGGCCTGGAAGAGGAGTCCTCCTCAACAGCTGGCCTTGGCCCCAGATTCAGGACATGTGTGGATGCTGAGGCGGACTGGCCTCTACCAGCCCTGGCCAAGGGCTATTTGAAACAGGACCCCCCAGAAATGACTCTCACTCCCTCAGGGGCCCCAGCTGGACAGTGGAACCCACCAACTGAGGACTGGTCACTCCTGGGCTTGACCAGCTGTGGTGACCTTGGAGCATCTGACTGGAGCTTTGCTCATGATCTTGCCCCTCTGGACTGTGTGGCAGCCCCAGGCGGTCTCCTGGGCAGCTTTGACTCAGACCTGGTCGCCCTGCCACTGATCTCCAGCCTGCACTCAAGTGAGTGACTCAGGCCAGAGGGCTGCTTTTGGTTTCCGCTGCACCCTGCCTGGACCCAGAGGGGCCCCAGGGGATGAAAGTGAAGCACGAGGCCAGTCTGAGCACTTTTCTGCAAGCGTAGTGAGGCCAGCGCCAGGCCCGGTAAGTGTCCAGGGCAGGAGGAAACTAACCTAGCACAGGGTACATATGTGGCATTGGCCTCCTCTGCAGATGGGGCCCTGCAGACCCTGGCGGAGCTGAGAAGGGCAGGGCAGAGATCTCCACCTCCTTGGGACACTTCCCATATTGTAAAGGACTACTTGCTCAGGGGAGTCATGGGGCTTTTTGGAGTTGTGGTGAGGCCACCAGGCTGAAGTCAGCTCAGAGAGCCAGGCCGCCCTGCTGAAGCCAGCCACCTGTCAGGGCCTCCAGCAGGATAGAGGGCCGAGAGGATGGAGGCTTCAGGGCCTCGCTGCAGGGGCCATTTCTAGGAGGTAAAGGAGGGAGCAGGGGTCAAAGGGAGCTGAGATGCAGAAGGGGGCTTCTGGCTCAGAATCCAGTGCTCTGGGGATGGCTTGTGTCCATCTGCAGACAGCACCCTCTTTCAAGCAAATAGAGCAGCATCCCCCTGGGGCACTTAGAGTGGCCAAGCCACGCACTACCCTCACCCTGCTGCCCACACCATCTTGCTGACAGTACCAGCAAAACCATGGGTGATTGTACTGGTCAAAACTCAGGCCTTCAGGTGGCCTCTAGGCTTGGAAGCCACCTTATCTGCCCGAGAGGGTCAGGGTTAGGACCTGCACTGTGTTTGCTGCTGACATCCAGCTATAGGACAGGACACTGGGGTAGGGCCTCTGTTCAATGATCAGCTGTGCGACCTTGGGCCAGCCACTTCTCAGAGGGCCTCAGTTATCCCATCTGTGACATAAAGAATCTCTAGGGGACCCTTCTAGATGGATGGATGTTAGCCAAGCTGGCTTCTGGGGTAACATCTCCAACCCCAACTGACCCTGGGTAGGGAGGAAGCCATGCCTGCACAGAGCTGGCTTCTTTCCCACGCTGCAGGCTAACTGGTGTAGCAAGAGTGCATGGCATTGTGCTGAGAACAACCAGACCCTGGGCCCAGAGAGGGGGCAGGTGTGGGCCCTGCTTCCCCACAGTCAGTTTAGAATCTGTCTGCAAAGCCAGTTTACAATCCGTGGGCAGGGAACCTGGGAGGGGTGATAGGCCTGGGGTGTGCCCACCCCCCAAGTCATCCTCGGCCCTGTGTTCTCCGAGGCATTCTGGGAATAGACATCAGGCCCAGGGAATCCAGCCAGAGCCCCTTCCACTCTGCCAGGAAGCTCGTAGGCGCCAGTCCGATAATAACTCCCTCTAGAAACAGGCTTGAAGGAGGGGTTTCTCAGCGTTTCCTTGGAAGGTTTATTTATTTATTTTGTTCATTTATTTATTGAAGAGGCAGCAAGATACAGGGAAATAGTTCTGGGTATTCCAATAGCCCAAGACTTCTCATTCTGATTTCACTGTTTCTAGCCGTGTGACCTTGGGAAAGCCACTTTTCCTCATCTATGAAGCCAGAGAACGTTGTCTGACTTGTTTCATTCATAAGGGTGTGAGGTTCCACTGAGGACGAGGATGTGAATGTGCCTTGAACACAGGCTCTGTAAATGAGTGACATGTGTTCTTTCTTCCAATAAATTGTCAGAACCACAGGAATCTTGGGAAACCAATCAGATTTCTGATGACACAGTGGCTGGTAGAGGCGTCAAGTTGTTGATGATCGAGAATGATGAGTAGATGTGCGATGTCGCTTTAAGCTACCAAGACTGAGGACTTAGGCTCAAATCAGGTCCAAGTCCTCATGTCAACATTTATTTTCTGTGACCTTGGGCAAGTTTCTTACTAAGTTCCAGTTTCTTCATCTATAAAATGGGAATAATCATTCCTCATGGGGATGTCAGGAGGTTTAAATGAGATCACACACGAAGAGTTACATTTAAAGCTGTGTAGGG